CACACGTTTCTCAATGAAGGATTTGGGAGAAGCATCTTACGTATTAGGAATACGGATCTATAGAGATAGAGCAATAAAGATGCTTGGCTTATCCAAAAGCCTGTACATAGACACCGTTATGAAACGGTTTAGCATGGAAGAATCCAAGAAAGGATTCTTGCCAATGTCCCATGGGGTTCGTCTCTCGAAATCTATGTGTCCGCAAACACCTAGTGAAATGGATGAGATGAAAAGGACGCCTTATGCTTCTGCCATAGGAAGCATTATGTATGGCATGCTATGTACGAGACCCGATATTGCGTATGCTGTGAGTGTCACAAGCCGATATCAGTGTAACCCCTGTCCAGCTCACTGGAAGGCCGTGAAAGATATCCTCAAGTACTTACGAAGGACTAAGGATATATTTTTGGTCTATGGGGGTGCCGAGTTGAAATTAGAGGGTTTTACCGATTCTAGTTTTCAATCGGATGTGGACGACTCAAAGTCAAACTCGGGATTTATACTCACGCTTAATGGTGGTGCCTTGGGTTGTAAGAGTTCGAAGCAAAGAACGACGTCCAATTCCACTACCGAAACGGAATACATTGCAGCATCCGAAGCGGCAATAGAAGGAACTTGGATAAAGAAATTCATCCAAGAAGGTGTCATTCTTAATGTTGCTCGTGATCCAGTACCGTTGTACTGTGATAACACCGGAGCCGTGGCGCAAGCTAAGGAGCCGCGATCTCATCAGAAGTCGAAGCATATTCTGAGGAAGTATCACGTGATCCGAGAGATCATTGATAGAGGTGAGGTTAAGGTAGAACGAGTCACCTCGGAAGAGAACGTTGCAGACCCCTTCACGAAGCCCTTACCGAGATCGGTCCATGAGAAACATCGAGAGTCGATGGGATTGCGATTTATGGGTAGTTGGCTTTAGGTCAAGTGGGAGATTGTTAGAGTAGATGACCAACAAGCAAACATGTGGCTGTGGTCTTTCGTATTTATTATTGTAATAGACGAACCTTTATTCGTATTAATGATAAAACAACTTGGCATTCTATATCTTTGTCCCTTTGTCACAAGCATAGATATAGTCCTTACAATTATTACAAGTACTAGTAATTGATCGTTAGGATCGTGAGATATTTACTTAAGTATTATAACTGTTAAACGTGTTCCTAGTCGAAGGGTTACGCCACCAATGAGGATATCGGCCTTTCCCATTAAGAGACTAGCACTTAGTGTGTGTGTACTGCATCTCATCAGTAAACGGTATTGTGATATCGGCATGCATAAGTGGGTGCTCGTAAGTTGACGAGTTCACTGAACTCCCTCACCCTAGAAATCTCTAAGTGGTTCCCAATAATCGAGTAAAGATATCTATGGTATAGTTGTACACCATTAGTCCTTATGACCTAGACATCACCGTGACTTCACTAGAGGACCAGCTGTATCGTGACCTGTCCTTGAGTTCCACCGAGGACCATCCCAAGGGCCAGTGTCCGTGCAGTCCGAAATCTAGTGGGAGGTCTGTGCATTGTAGTCGGGGATTCGATCGCTAGAATAGTCTTGGATGTCCTGTGTGTTCTGAAAGTTTGTAATCATTCTAAGTCTCTGGCCAGAGCTGACTAAGTGATGATTAGAGAATTCGATTCTCTAAGTCATGCACGTAACGATTACAACACTTAGAACGATCGCACCGTTATTGAACATACAAAGAGGTCTCGACGAACCAATGCCTCTAGTTCAATCGGGACATATGTATCGAAGGGACCGTACTGTACGTTAACTATATCTGAAGGTTCTTGCAGGCACTTCATTTGTATCTAGGGAATCATGACGCGTAGTTGCTAGACGCCAATCTTGATTCGTTGGGTGATTAAGGTGAAACGAGTTTCATCTTAATCGTAACTCTAAGGGACGAGTTTTGACCACAAAGGGTTGTGGGCCCACGGCTAGCTTACACCTGAACCATCGAGGGTCACACTGCTCGTGCACATGAGATCTTTGAATAAACGGTCAGAGATAAAATGGTTTATCTTTGCATGATTGGAAGTCAATATGATTGGGTCCAACATTTGTAATTTGGAATTATGAATGAGAATAAGAAAAGGAAAAGAATAGACGAACATTGTAGTGGACTTTCTAAATCGGGAAGTTTCCAAATTTAGAAAGTGCACTGAACTAGGGTTTCCACTTTTGGAAAGTTGGAAATTGAGAGTTGGCACTCGTAATGTCGAGGACTTTATAATGATTCCGAAAATGTAATCGTTACAATTTTCCGATCATTGAAATGAGAGAGACGAGCAAATAAAAGTACTAACGAACTTAAGTTGTTGGGCCCGGTCCAACTTAAGCCGGCTAGGGTTTTATACAAGGCACTATAAATACTTGATTTATAGGCCTTGCACAAAACACAACACAACAAAATCCTAACCCTAGTCGTCCCCCTCTCTCTCTCGGCCACTCTCCCCAGCGGCCACCACCGCCGTCGCCCCGCCGTTTCGCCGGAATCGGCCATTCGTTGGCCGATTGCTTTCGGTAGTTCTTTCCTTCTCTTTTTTCTTCCGTTTTTCTAACTATTACGTGTCTAGTGCCACGTGTTTAGTAGATTGAAGTATACGAGGTGAAATCCGAGAGGAGGAAGATCGAAGATCGAAGAATCGAGGAGCAGCACACGAGCCGAAGCCGCACGCGATCCCACGCGCCGCCCGAAGACCGCGCATGAGTTACACGCGCCGCCGTGGCCGTCTCGCCGCTGCTGCCGTTGCACCGCTGCTGCCCCCGGATTGTACGGATTGGTTTCCGTAGCAATCTCAACTTGCTTAGCGCTCCTACCTCACGCTTCAAGAGGTAAACACACGAATTTAATGTTCTTGATTCGTTTACGTTTAAACTATATATTCATGTTTGCTTTCGTATGATTTTATGTGATTACGTGAAATCGTTTTAATCGTTGCGAGCATGTTAGTTGGTTTAAATGCGAGCATGTTAATTGATTTAAATTCAGTTAAACAATTTAGCATGTATGTTGTTTTTAATTTCGCTGGAAGCGCAAAGGTACGCAATTAATTGATTTAATTTATCGGGCATGTGTTTATGTGCTTTAAAGTTGTTTAAATCGCATAAAATTTTTGTTTTCCTCTGCGTACACGTGCCCGTTATCCAACACCAACATGATAAAAGCATCCGGTATCGATTGACTCATAAAATTTCCCCCGGTTGATGCATCTAAGACCGTTCGTGCATTCTCGTTAATCCCTTGGTAGAAGATGTGGATCTGCCGCCATTGTTCGACTCCATGTGTTGGACACTGCCGCAAAAGAGTTTGAAATCTCTCCCATGCCTCGTATAATTGCTCGCCTTGCTCTTGGACAAAATTATGAATTTCCCGTCGGATTCTCTCGTCCTTCTCGGGAGAGCTATAAACTTTCATGAAAAGGTTGAGGAGTTGAGGCCACGACGAGATAGAGTGTGGGGCTTGGGACATCAACCACTGGCGAGCTCTTCCTTGTAAGGAGTGCTTGAAGAGAATTAATTGAAGCGCCTCTTGGGAAACGCCGTTTTGACGGTGGAAATTACAGGTATCTAGAAAATTGACAATGTGAAGATGGGGATCTTCGCCCGCCAATCCACTAAATAGCCCGTTATTTTGGATCATCGTCAAGAGGCCTTGCTTGATCTCAAAATTGTGCGCCTCAATAGGTGGATATTGGATGCTTGGGCGGAATCCGTCATGAGTCGGGATTATGTAATCTTGAAGTGTCCGTGGCCTAGCAGATGGCTGTACTGGAAGTTGAGGGGGTGGGTCTTGGACTTGGTTTCCGTTGGCCCCGAGTAAATTACCCGCTGCCCTGCGTTCTTCGTCCTCCATTATATTGTTTTCGCGTTGAAGTCTCGTAGCGGCTCGAAAAGTTCGTTCGATTTCGGGATCAAACGGTTCTCTAGCAAGATCGAGTCTCCTGCGCATACACAGTACCTAAAAAGAAAAATAAAATAAAACAAAAATTAAATGGGTGAATCGTGAAAATTGTTCAAACCTAGAGCTAGAATAAAATAAATAATTAAAATATTCTCCGGCAACGGCGCCAAAAACTTGTTGGCCGAAAACCTACACGCAAGTGCACGTATCGTACAAGTAATATAGTGGACTAAAAGTCCGGATATTGAACCCACAGGGAATATTTAATTATCTAATCCTAGACGCTAAATTCTACCAATTATTATCAAGCCCACCCTACACAGTCAAATTTTAGAGAGAATTAACTAAATTAAACTAAATTAAAAGCAAGCAAAAACAAGAAAACAATTTAAACACGAAGATTAATCAAAGTAGACAAGCCTAGGATTTTATTCTTCCCCCCATGTGATTATTATTCCCCCAATTCCTTCAATTATGCAAGCAATTAACCCGAATTATTAACCTGAGATGCTAAAATAATCATAACCCGCTTCCGCGTGTATTACGATTCTAATACTCTAGATTCAATTACTATATTCCTATGCAATTAATTCTAGAACACAACATTAAGCACAAATCTCAATAATGCCTACCTAAGAGATTAACTATATTCCTATGTTAATACCACAAAGGCTCTTCTACCACAGTTCTAATTATTAACCCGATCTTCCGATTCATGCGATTAACAATAACATAAAAGCGCATAAAGTGGCCTGTTTCATGAACTTAATAAAACAAGTAGAAGAAATAACCCGAAATTAAAACTTGCATAAAATCATAGAAAATGGTTCATAAATCCCACATAGGGTTACAAATAATGTAGCACCCTCAATGATTTACTAGAAAGTTTAGATAAAAATTTAAGAAATACGGATTTTAAAACTTTCGGATCCAGTTTGAACTTTTGAGAAAACCACTTTAAAATTATTAAAACCATTTCCCTTTATTTCAAATCTAACCCACAATCGGAAAATAAGATTTTTCATAGAGAGTGTACCGTAACGTGAACGGGATTTTGAAAATAATCTCGATGTTGCGGAATAATCCACATAAAACATCACCGGGGTTTAGAAAACACTCGTAAGACAGCGGAAGGAAATAAACTTTATTTAAGATACCCCCGTTTAATAGACTGGGTTCCCAAATCAGAGTACAAAATTAAAAATCGATATCTTGGCTAGATATTTTAGAAATCGTTGACGTGGTAAAAATCCGGGTAAAACATTCAAGGCACCAGGGCTAGCGATTCCTCGAACTCCACTCCGCCGGCCTCCTAAAAAGCTTGGAGAACCTGAAAAGATAATTTGCATAAAAGCATGAGCCCAAACACTGGCTCAGTAAGGACATTAGTCTTAGTCTGACGAACTCACGCCTCTCTCATCGTGTCACTCACGACCTATGGGAGTCCTAAAGTCCCTGTCTATGTTCTTTTCTGTCTAAGGCTTTTACGTCATAATTGTATCATGTTATAGTATTTCATCGACGTTAATCAAGACATATAATCACGCCACAAATAATTAAACATATAACTTCACATATGAGCACATAATAAAAAGTCTGATTTTGCTTTGAAGGCCATTTGAAATTCACTTTGAAAATCATGTGGGGATTCGTTTTCCTTTAGACATCATTTCTTAGTTCATTTTGGAACTCGTCTTGGACAAAATGTCCCTTTCAACGAAGTTCCCCTTTTTAGAACGAAAACCCCCTTTTTAAAACTCTTTTTAAAAAACGTTTTTTCTTTCAAAATCTTTCGTATGCAAGGATGCACATGTTGGGATCCCCATCAAAACCCTAACGTAAGCATCGGCAATAGACGTTTATATGCTGAGCCCGGTCATTCGGTGGGAGCTAACCACCCTATAGTTCTATAGTAACTGTTGTTGGGATACCGGCCCCCCGTATCCCGTGTCTATTCAACCGTAGCAACGTTACAATTTTGATTCTTCTATAGTAGACCATGCAATACCAATTAATGACTCGATGAATGCACGCAAGTAAAAGATCTTAATAGCAACACGATAATAATTCCAATTATATCATTCACGTATTTCGAAGGAATTAAATCACATAATTCGGAAGTAATTTCCGAGGCTATAGTAAGCACAAGTAGATCAAACATTAGTAATAAAGAACACATATACTTGTACACGTATATACACATAGGCACTTATACGTATTTATATACTTATACTTATACATATATACTCTAATTTATAACTATGGGTTATAAGTTTCCTCAACCCGAAGGGAGTACGCCAATAACATCATAGGTCTAAACTATCGATATACATATAAATATACTTATATATATACATACTTATACCTCACAAGAGTAACTCACATAATTCAAATACACATAATGAAATTCAACGCTTCTTATTTAAAGAATCATCGGGAAATCTAATTCATTATAAGTACTAGCACATAGTAAGTTCAAAGAACAACTTATTATTCTAATCATAGATTAGTCTAAGAATATTTCTTAGATCTAGCTCAATACTCATGGGAAACTTCATCTATGTTCAACTATTATGTTAATTTATGCCTCAAGAGTTTAAACCATGCTCACAAAGGACCTTTTGATTCAAGTAGTTTACTCATAGGAAAATCGGATAGTTTTGACACTTTAACTTCAAAAATACATTTCTCTTAGACCACAACTTCAAAAACTCTGAAACTTTGACACAATACTCCTGTGTGAGTGTAAAAGACTGGTTTAAAACAGTTTTACAAAAGAACTAGTAGACTAAGAGAAATGAGTAAAACAGTGCAGGAGTGTGGTCACACTTTCAGAAACAGAACCAACCACTTTGAAAATACCCAATAAATCACCCTTTTGTTAAAACAATGTAAGACTTTGCAGAAAACTGGTTTTATAAAGTATAAATATATTCCAAGTGGAATCAAGGAAATCAAACTATGAAAACATCGATTTTAAAAGCAAATTCTCAGCTGACTCAAAAACTGTACAGGTTTAGTAAATAATTCATATCTTAATCATCTGAAATCCGTTTGATGATTAAAATATATCAAATTAAAGATAACATAAAGATCTAGTTACCCATAAACTTTCGTGATTTTAGGAAAACAGGGAATCTGTGAAACATGCAGTAAACTCCGAGACTGAAAACCTGAAAATTCATTAGTGATCTATATCTACATCTTTGATCAAAACAAATCTGGCAGTTTAGGCACTATAACTTCAGAAATTCATATCTCCTAAGCCGTAGATCCAAACCTAATGAAATTTGGAACACATGTTCATATCTAAGTCTAGTTTATAGGGTTAAAACAGTTTATGAAGAAACTTATCTGTGTAAGAGATATAATCAATTTAGTGCAGTAACACAAGCAGAATTTCAGAACAGATCCACTAACTTTAAAAATACCAATTAATTCATACCTTTACTTAAACACTACCAAATTTTGTGTAAAGTCAGTTTCGTAAGTTTATAATCATATTCAAGTGGAATCAACTCAATAAGATTAGTATAAAACTCTATTTAACACATAACTCGTGGATGACTCCGAAACTGTGCAGATTCAGAAAACGATTCATAACTCACTCAATACAAATCAGATTTATGCATAATTTATATCAACATGAAGCTAACCAAAAGATCTAGACTACCACCAAATTTCATAATTTTATCTTAGGGATTACCCGATGAGACATGCAATACAATCAGAAGCTACGAAACTGAAGTTCAAGTAGTGTTCATCAAGAACTTTATCTTCTAAAGCCCAAAATTAAAACCACAAACATATAATTCATTAAAACACATATAATTTATATTAATTAGGTTATTATTTCAGTAAAGACCAAGGTCCTTACCCAAGAGCAAGAAATCGAAGATGAAGGAGTAAGAAAACCAAAGGCTCGGTGGATTTTCAGCGGGTTTGGCTTGGATGTTCTTGGAGAGTTTTGGGGCTGAGTGTTGAGAGATTATATGACTATTTCTTTGAAGGTATTAGGAGAATCCCGAAATTAGGGAGAAAGAGGCATTTTGGGGTGATTTTAGAAGAGAAAAAGAGAGACTTCTATGGAGAATCTTCAAGGCTTTGAAGTGGAAGATGAACTCTTCCATTTGGGGAGTGTTTGGACGAGATAGAGGGGAGAGAATGAGGGATTTTGGCTGATGTTTGTGTGCTGAAAATTGTGAAGTTGAAGAGGCTATTTATAGGAGAGTAGAGGGACTTACTTGCAATATTACAAACAAGAGGGTGTAGGTAGCAATTAGGAAGACTTGGACACTTGGCAATTCACCATCAAACCCAACACACTCAACTTATACACACGGCATTCTCACAAAACACAAAGCACATGCACACACAACACCTATACATATACACATCTATACATAAATAATATTAAAATAATAAAAGATAAATGGTGTGGCATTTCCTATGCTCAAACCGAGAGAGAGAGAGGGATCCTATGTCATGTATGTCACATACATATACATCAAATAAATGTGCACATATAACATACATACATATATACACACATAAATAAATCCTAGCAAATATCATATCATAAACATACACATTCACATAATATGACATACATAATTAAGTCCACATCATATATTATATATTAGCATAAAATATATATGCACATATACAATCCCAATTAGCATGACTTACATAGATGGTCACTAAATTCATTAAATCACATAATTAGAATCAACTACTCAATTAATAACATGTCTACTTCTAAAAATACTATAATGTATCTAAATCACATAATCACGTAGAGAAAGTATAAATCACTACTCGATTCATGAAATGCACGTATATTCGTAGTTACTATATATTGAATATATTCATATATAAATGCTTATGAAAATGCGGGCTGGTACAATCTTCCCCCCTTAAATAAATTTTGTCCTCAAAATTTGAAAAGTACTTTATCATGAAGTCGAGTTATGAAAAATCTCATTACTTTCCATAACTGGATAAGCAACACTTTTATTCACAAAAAGATTTTCTTAAACTAGAAAGCTCCTTTTTGTCAAAGCAAAAAAAATATTTCTCGGAATACTTGTAAATAATTTTCTTACCCAATAGTTTTATGAAGGCGAAATTTGCTCTTGAAAAATTCTAAACGAGTCTCATCGAGACCTCCAATTTTCGGAAAACGAAATTTGATTTTGAGATAATCTTTTCCCTTTTGAAGAAACAAACGTCTGCATGCATTGTTGAAAACATGCAAATAAAATCAGTGCGATCTTTATGTATTTCATGAATGCACCACTAAAAATGCACATAAGTTCCACACAAGATACATATCATCAGTTTTAATACCTGGCATCGCATATATCCACATAGATTCTACCAAAAATGTTAGATGCAAACTATACTCTAAAATGCACACACATGATTCGTATAGTAAGAATTTAACTTTCAAACTTTCGAAATTCGTCATTTGAAAAAATAATTTCTATAATTGACCCTTCCAAAAGAGTCAACCAAAGTGCTTAACATGCAAGTAAATAATTTCATCATGATGCACATAATATCTACTTTCATTATGATGCACATAAATCACTTAGGGATGTGGCATGTGACTCCAGTATATCATATAATGCATGAAACTCACTATCAAAGAACACATTATTCACAAAATCCAATTTCAATTCTCAAAATCTCAATCAAGTCAGGTAATCATATTCTATCCAATCGTTAACTTCGAATGGTTAAATTTCGAAAATCCAAGTATCGCACATAGTTGGGACCAGAGAAATACGGGCACATGAGTTTAAAAAATCAAGATAAGTTTTGTCATAAAGCTGTGTCTATTTTGAAACAAATATTTTATCAACTTCGTGAATAATTTAAAACGTGCCTCTTTCAATCACCAACAAAGTGAGAGGTTTTATCAAAAAGAACTTCGAGATTTTTAAAATTTAGAAACTGGTCTCAACTATTTTCGAGAAAATACTTTTAAAGAAGTTTATACTTACAACCACAAAATTTTCGAGTGTCGTTCAAAGTATAATAATTTACTAAGAAAACTTGACTATGCACATAGTTCACATAATTTCACATAGTCAAAATAACAAATATCAAAATCTAAAGGCAAATAGCTCAATTAGATTCTATAGACACCTAGTTTGGTCCAAATTGTCAATCAAATGCATCGATAGGAATCTTCAAAAATAATTTAGTCACAAATATGCAATTATCAAGAAATCTGAACGTCATAAATGCAAATAGCATACACATATGCATACAAAGGTATGGGATTAATTAATCCACACACGTAGAAAAAATCATGTAATTCATATATATGAATTTAAATTGCACATGTACTTAATTTGTTAACAAAAGTCGATCATACTTTGTCACATAAACTACCATACATGTCACATAATATTAATAGCACACTTAGTCAATTATTTCAGGAAATCGAACATGTAAGAATCGAGCACATAGATTACTTAGGGAGTTGAGTATATGATTAGAATCTACCGAGAAAACTATAGAACATCACATTATTCTCTGGTAACCTACTCACATAATTTTCGAATTGCAAAGTAATTTCACATAACATTTATATTTCATCAAGTGAAACATATTTTAATATCATTATCACATTGGTCAAGCAATCAAGAATTGGCTACCACAACATTAAAATTCATCAATTGGACATATACGTCAAATGTAGTAACATATTCAATATTAATCATCTAACACATAAGGTACACATAAGTGATTCATCTACACATATGTATAATCAATCAACACAAAAGGAGAGCCTAAACTAAAATTCACCAATCAAACACTTCCGACATTCTTAACAATTCCTGATATTCTTTAATAGCAAAAATCCAAAAATTTATATGTAAACGAAGATTTCCAAAACACACTGAAGGTTTTAACACACAAATCTCAAATAATAATAGCACAACATGTGTTAGGTATTCAAGAAGGTTAAAACACTTAACCACTCATAATCGCCTAAAACCAGTTCTAGATCGATGACATAAAATATCAAAAATATTGAGGTACTTATACCAAAATAATCATCACAAAATCCGGTATCAAAACCGCATAAACTATCTTCTCTTTATCATCACATAGGAGCAATTAGGAAATTACAAATCTTAATAGGATCAACTCGATATGCTAACAAGTAAAAATGAGTATAGTGACAAGTTCACATAGAATTGTAAGTTCTCTAATTCGAATTAGTCTAAACTAAATATGAATCATACCTCATGACTTAGGCCGAGGACTGGAGGAGGAATCACTTGTGCCTTGAACCATAATTAGGAATCCAGTGTATTAAACACTGCTCTGATACCACCTTGTAGCACCCTCAATGATTTACTAGAAAGTTTAGATAAAAATTTAAGAAATACGGATTTTAAAACTTTCGGATCCAGTTTGAACTTTTGAGAAAACCACTTTAAAATTATTAAAACCATTTCCCTTTATTTCAAATCTAACCCACAATCGGAAAATAAGATTTTTCATAGAGAGTGTACCGTAACGTGAACGGGATTTTGAAAATAATCTCGATGTTGCGGAATAATCCACATAAAACATCACCGGGGTTTAGAAAACACTCGTAAGACAGCGGAAGGAAATAAACTTTATTTAAGATACCCCCGTTTAATAGACTGGGTTCCCAAATCAGAGTACAAAATTAAAAATCGATATCTTGGCTAGATATTTTAGAAATCGTTGACGTGGTAAAAATCCGGGTAAAACATTCAAGGCACCAGGGCTAGCGATTCCTCGAACTCCACTCCGCCGGCCTCCTAAAAAGCTTGGAGAACCTGAAAAGATAATTTGCATAAAAGCATGAGCCCAAACACTGGCTCAGTAAGGACATTAGTCTTAGTCTGACGAACTCACGCCTCTCTCATCGTGTCACTCACGACCTATGGGAGTCCTAAAGTCCCTGTCTATGTTCTTTTCTGTCTAAGGCTTTTACGTCATAATTGTATCATGTTATAGTATTTCATCGACGTTAATCAAGACATATAATCACGCCACAAATAATTAAACATATAACTTCACATATGAGCACATAATAAAAAGTCTGATTTTGCTTTGAAGGCCATTTGAAATTCACTTTGAAAATCATGTGGGGATTCGTTTTCCTTTAGACATCATTTCTTAGTTCATTTTGGAACTCGTCTTGGACAAAATGTCCCTTTCAACGAAGTTCCCCTTTTTAGAACGAAAACCCCCTTTTTAAAACTCTTTTTAAAAAACGTTTTTTCTTTCAAAATCTTTCGTATGCAAGGATGCACATGTTGGGATCCCCATCAAAACCCTAACGTAAGCATCGGCAATAGACGTTTATATGCTGAGCCCGGTCATTCGGTGGGAGCTAACCACCCTATAGTTCTATAGTAACTGTTGTTGGGATACCGGCCCCCCGTATCCCGTGTCTATTCAACCGTAGCAACGTTACAATTTTGATTCTTCTATAGTAGACCATGCAATACCAATTAATGACTCGATGAATGCACGCAAGTAAAAGATCTTAATAGCAACACGATAATAATTCCAATTATATCATTCACGTATTTCGAAGGAATTAAATCACATAATTCGGAAGTAATTTCCGAGGCTATAGTAAGCACAAGTAGATCAAACATTAGTAATAAAGAACACATATACTTGTACACGTATATACACATAGGCACTTATACGTATTTATATACTTATACTTATACATATATACTCTAATTTATAACTATGGGTTATAAGTTTCCTCAACCCGAAGGGAGTACGCTAATAACATCATAGGTCTAAACTATCGATATACATATAAATATACTTATATATATACATACTTATACCTCACAAGAGTAACTCACATAATTCAAATACACATAATGAAATTCAACGCTTCTTATTTAAAGAATCATCGGGAAATCTAATTCATTATAAGTACTAGCACATAGTAAGTTCAAAGAACAACTTATTATTCTAATCATAGATTAGTCTAAGAATATTTCTTAGATCTAGCTCAATACTCATGGGAAACTTCATCTATGTTCAACTATTATGTTAATTTATGCCTCAAGAGTTTAAACCATGCTCACAAAGGACCTTTTGATTCAAGTAGTTTACTCATAGGAAAATCGGATAGTTTTGACACTTTAACTTCAAAAATACATTTCTCTTAGACCACAACTTCAAAAACTCTGAAACTTTGACACAATACTCCTGTGTGAGTGTA